TTGGTATAAAACCTTTTTTAATTTAAATTAATGACATGAGAATTCAGAGTTGATGTTGGTTTAGAAATATCCACCTGACCTGAATAACTCTTCAGTGGCAAAAGAGAGACAAAAAGATGCACAAGAGTAAATAAAGTAACATGAAATGAAAGTATCAAATTCTAGTAGAGGAATGTGAGTACCTCTATGTCTCATTTCACCATGATGGCTGGATGGAGCAGCAGATGGATCAGAGCTTCATCTTCACTAATAACTGAGCTGTTGTAAATAAGAAGCTGAATTAAAAGCAAAATCTCCAGACTTATTTGTCCAACTGTCAATTCAAACCCTCTGCATTAAATGTAGGATATGGATTATGAATGCAACAGAACAGCATGGATTGCTGCTAGAGCTAAGATATTTCAGACATCTAATCATCTAATCAAAATGCCTCCAAAGTAACTCTGGACATATTCAAATGTGACGAGACTTTAGGACAGAGCCAAGACGGACTATTTATTCAACTTGGGCTTAGAAAATCTTAGAGTAACAAATAAACTAGAGGATAGATGGACAGATGGACGGACGGACGGATGAATGGATGAATGGGTCAGATTAAGAAGGTACTCCAGTCCCAGTGTTTGTCTATGTCTCCTTTTTGTCTTCACTGGTGCCTGAGACATTTTCTAAAGGACACTTTCTCCTGTTAAAAAAGGAGAGATTCTGTCTACTGCTACTTTATGCTTGATTAAACACTTTCTACTGGTTTAGATGAATGTTCTATGATTAAACATGAAATTTTCTTGTTTGCCTTTAATCATAAAATAAAGTCCTGAAATGAAACAACTTTGGTTGAGGTTCAAAATAAGGAATAAAATATTACATTTAACTTAACAATTAATATAACTATCATGTCAAACTATTTGAGAGCTGATTCTAGCTGTAAATATTAATTCTGATTTATGAAATAATTTTCTACTCCTAGAGAAAACAGGACATATTATTTATTTTTTACTGTTTTATTTCCAAAAATCTATTAGAGAAAAATGCTAGAAGGGGAAAAAAGCAATAAGAAATGGTATCGAACTACTATTTACGGCTGCTTAAGGTATTTATTTATTTATTTATTCCTCTATACTGAAATATGAATTAGCTCTATTTTTACTTTAGATATGATCAAGAAAATGATCATATCCTTCCTTAAGAAGTGAGAAAATCTAAAAGAGAAATGAAAACCAGCCTTTACTCTGAGCAACTGTTGTGGTTTCTAAGCATACAACCTAAAAACAAACTGCTTAGAGGGGACTGCTGGGAATCTGCATCAAATATAACACTTTGACGTATGAAATAATGAACAAACCGGTGTTTTAAACTGAGGCTTCATTAGTGAAATCACCTGCTGAGGTGCATCATGTTTTCAGGCGCTCGGCCCAGAATCCTGCTGGTTGTTTCCTCCATCCTTACAGCTGATTTCACTGCTGATGATCAGCCAATGTTTACATGCTTACAGACAGATGCGACTTCAGGAGTGTTTTTTTTTTTAAAGAGACAGCGCCATCTGTTGGTCTGAAGAAGTGCAGTTGATTTCTTCCCTGAGAGGAAAAAGCCTGCAGTTCACCTCTATATTCAGACACTCATCCACCCACAAACATGCCTTCTAGTTTGATCTTAATCTGAAAGTTAAAAAGCCTTGAGCTATATTTAAATCCCATCTCTTCTTAATGGATTCTCATAGAGTTTACTGCACTCACACCATTCATAATGAAAACGCAGAATCTCATTTTATATTTTGCCTTGAGAACAGTGTGATAAATCTGTTTCATAAGCTTCATGGCTGAGAGACTCCAAACAGAGCCGCTGGTGATTCTGGATACTGCCTCATGGGGCACCAATATTTTATATATTTAAAGTTATGTTCCAAGTTGAAATACCCCCGAATAGCAGTGGAAGTCAGTGGAGCAAATACAGATAAAGATGCATAAAAAGGCGACAAAAATCTGTACAAGAACACTTAATGTTTTAGATGTTGTCCATAAAACATTTTCCCAGAGGACAGGTTGGTGCTCTTCACTAGTAAAGTTTAAATGTGTCCTTGAAACAAAAGTTTTAGGATTTAAGGAGTTTCTTCCAACAAGCTTTCTTGTTCAAAATAACTAAAAAGTGAAGAATTACCTAATCAGTTATTAAAGTAGCAAAGTGAATGGATTTTTAAATTGATTATATTCATTTAATGAGGACAAAATTCCCCCAAAAATACTGTAAATGCACTGTAACTGTTTTTTAGCAACTTCTAACAAAAAGTCATTGACTTCATATTTCCTTGTGATATAAATACTGTATGACAACATTGTTCCTTTGAAAAGACAAGCAAATAAAATGGGAGAACACTGCTTTTAAATTGGCCTTCCTATAATCAAGACTATAAGCAACTCCACAACTCACTGTTAGAGAACATCAGCTGTGCAAAACTGGCATCTTGGAGTCACCACATCTCCATAGCAAATATCAGCTGCTATGTAAATGTCATGGTTTGAGAGAGTTATGAATCCCAACATGTAGAAAAATTAAACAAAGTATCTCAGGTATATCAGCTTTATATTGGAGGTTTTATTGCTGAAACTCAAGACTCACAAGAAATGTACAAAGTCATGTTGTGGACTGGAGGCCAAGGGTCAGAGTTCAGCTCTCTGTCTGCTGAGAGTTCTTTGGTCCGGGTTCTGCAGCTGCAGTCCGAGTTCCACCTGATGCCAGTGTGCCAGTTGAAGCAATGGAGAAGGGTGGGTCATTTTTGGTGCTGGGGCCTTTTTACAGCCTGCTTCCACAAAGACCATGGAAGTAAACACGGTGCCTGAAGAAGCTAAAGTCCTATAAATATGACCTCAGTTTTAATGTAAAATTTACTGTAAATTACCATTTAAGTACCTTTACTTCAAAATTACACCTTTTTTTAATGTGTTACTTAGAATTAATTTGTAAAACTCTATCTGTTAAAAGATGAGTAAATTTAATTCATCTTACCAAATATTTTTACCAACACAAATTAAATCATTTCCCAATTTAACAGATACAAGTAATATTTACTTGGATGATTTGAGTAAACTTGGTGTTTTTTTTACTTGCCTGACCATGTTTAGGTCAGAAATGGAAAATATTGTTTGCTGTATGGTGACGCAGTTAGTAGCACTGTTGTCTTATAGTAAAAAGGTTCTGAGTTTAATCCCCGGTTCATGGGCTTCTGCGTGGTGTTTGCACGTTCTCTCTGTGCATGCATGGATTTTCTCTGGGTATAAGTTTTTTTTTTTAGAGGTTTAGTTCTGTTAGAGGTGGGTGCCTCTTTGCTGAGGGCCCCCACCTCTAACAGGAATTTAGGGAGAGTCTTTCTTCATAGAATTTTTTTCCTTTTAGAAAACCTTTTTGAGTTGCTGTTCATCATCTTTGTTTTTGTTTCATCCCTAATTTTTGTATCCAGTTTGCTTTTGTATTAAAATAAATATTTTGGGGCACATTTTTATTTTTATATACATAAAATCTTGCCTTTGGAGTTTTTTTTTTCATTCTTTAAATAGATTATTGGTTCCTGACTTTAATAAAACATAAAAGACACATGTTGAGGTTTGAAGTTGAATTCATTTTATCTTCCACCTGGGGTCATTCTGGTGGCCGTAAGAGGGGATAAAAAATTAATGAAGAAGATTGGAGTAAAAGAGGAAATAATCTGGAAGTTTTGGGGAAAACAGTTTTCTTAAAAAGAAGTGACAAATAGCCCATGTTAGTGTTATGGCTTCGTTGTGAATTAGGTCCGCCACCCCCCTTCACTTATCACCTATGTGTTCTTTAATCTATAGATCGTATCTGTAGAAAAGCGAGTAGTTTTTATTCCGTAAAAATTCAAAAAATATCCACTGGACTTGGTTTCCAAGATTTGAAGACGTTTCGCCACCTCTCGAGGAAGCTTTCTCAATTCAAATGTCTGGATCCGCAGTGAGTTTGAGTCTTATATAGACAAAGCCTGGTATCGCTTGGAAACATGCAAATGGTAACCGAGTAGTTTTTAGTTTTTACTTTCATTAGGTTTTCTTTCAAATTTTTTAATCCCCGCCACTATGTAAAATCGCCACAGAAGGATAAGTGGTTTTCATCTGCTGGACCCGTCAGATTTATCTGAGTAACCATGATGATCAATGGTTATATTTTTACAGAGAGGACTCATATTGGGTCAAATTGGGTCAGATACAACATGTTGATTCAGCAGGAGGCATGCCAGGAAAATGTATTGTTTGCTCAACCATTATACACATAAATGAATGAAGTTTCTAAGCTTTATTGGTTATTCAACATGAACCTCATGTTTTAGTCTAATGAGTTTGAGACCAAAGGTTTTAGCTGAAAAACTCTTCAGTTGAATGTGTCCTAGGACAGAAGCTGGATTTGTCAAAGCCAAGCTATGCAGCATGAGGTTTATCTGATGGAAACAGTTTCTTATTCCCACAAACCTACTGAATACCGATGTTTTGCATCATGGTTTTAAAATTGAGTGTCTATAATTTTAAATATGGGGCTGTATATACTGTACACAGAAATCCAACGCCTATTTCCCAATGCCTTTATTGCAGTACTTCACAAATTTTTGGGGCCTCATACTAAACAAAAGTATGGTCTCTCTTTCATAACAACTGGTTTTATTTAGATGTCCATGTTTTCCATGTTTGGCTATAGACTATGAATAGATGATGCACTTTAGGAAATGAGAAGAAGCATTCTGTGCTAGTTTTAGTAACATCCTGTAAAGAATTTTGCCAAGAAGAGGAATGAAATGTAGGCTAAGATATAGTGAAGGTCCTGGAAGGTTAAAGCACAAATCTACAGAAAGTTAAAACTGGGTTTTTGGAACATTTTGAGAGACATAGAAATCCATTTTACTTTAATGTTCTGAAAACACATCAAATATTCAGCTGAAAGTATATTCAAATGTACTTGTCAGTCAGTCAAAGTTGAGATTAGAGAAAAAATAATCAGAGTGCCCATGTTGACAGAGGAGTTTATTGGACAGAAAACATCTGCATGCTTCAGGCCACTGTCAGGAGTAGAAAACACATGCATGTCCTCAGGCAGTACTAACAGTGGTACACAAAGGAAGATATATGATGTCAGATAAGGACAGTAATTGGGAGCCCAGGCTGTGAAGCTGAGGGATGTTTGGCCCCGCAGAAAGTCCAAAGAAGGAAATGTTCTTCAGATGCATTTAAGCAGGTAGGAGTTACAATTGACTCCTCTCCCACATTCACAGAGCTTCCCGATCCGAGGGCCAAACTTCATGGCACAGCGGTCCCCCATCCCACACTAAGAAGGAAAAACACATCAATTATTCAACTTTTGAGTAAGAGTTAAAAATTCATGGGGCCTGATGTCTTTAGGGAAATATATTTGATCATTTCCATAATCACAGTTCAAATTTATTTCCAACAATTAACTTTGATATGTATATAAATCAAAAAGAGTCAGTAAAAGGAAAAACAGATACTGCTCATTAGCTCAGACTGAATCTATAGTTAGGATGTTGATTGATTTTAGTGACACCAGTGAGAGGCTTTTATAGACTGATATCAGAGAGCAATCTTTATTTGATCTGTAATTACACAGTATGGTTATCTTTTAATTAGTCACAGCTATGCGTTCCAAATGGGCTTAATTAAAAAAAGAACTTAAGGATGTTTACAGCACCAAATAATGACTCAGCAGACCTGTTAACCTTAGTAAATTAGACATTAAAATAAAGTTGCGATGCATCAATAGTAATGCTACAAAAGGCGGTTTACCATTCGGATGCTGCCTCTTTTCTCAGTGGAAGAAACATGGCTGTGCATCTGACCCATCAGGACCTCAAGAGCATCCACCTGTGGCAAAAAGAAAAACAAAAAAACATAACAAAAAAACAGGTACAGAGATGTGCATAAATAGTAAAAATTGTCTAAATAGTTTAACAAGTTTTTATTTTCCTGTAAAGAAAAACAACAAACATTAAAAAAGCAGTTAAAAAGCTGATATTTCCAAAAGGATTAGTTGTAAATGTAAATTTCTTCATCAGTTCTGCAAAGTTATGGAAACCTGGAAAATGTATTCTTTGCAAAGAATTTAAACCTCTTTTAGCTTTAGTTTGGATCTTTTGCAAAAAAAAAAAAAAATGCTGACAAGATTTGGTTTAATTAAGATAAAAAAGATGCCATTGAATAGCGAAAAAAAAATTTTTCTCCATGACATAAAAAACAACAGTCTGGACTTTTTTTTAAAATGTATTGCCATATTTTGTGTAATAAGTTGTACAACATTTACTGTGCGACTGTTTATTCTTAATGTTTTTGTTTCTTGTTTTTCTCTTTAACATTTTTTTAAGACTAATTATTCTTGTTTATTTTTTCATTCATTCCCTGACCTTTCTGAAAAAAAAAATTCCATTATTTTTGTCTTTCTAATTCAAATAAAAACAACAGCTTTTTTCCCTAGTGTGTGATAACATATAAGAACTTATCAACCTTGTTGAACTGGAAGTCCAAGCCACAGGACATTGGTCAGTATTAATTTTATTTATTTATCATCTAAGTTTTTTAATGTTTTACCAGACCAAATTTTGTATCCTCTTCTGTTTTACTTACTTCTAATTAAAATGTAATTAGAAGCTTTTAATTAAAAATTAAAAAGTATGATGCATGAGGGAGGGAAATCAGAAAACCTTCAGCATCAAATAATACTGTAAGACTGTTAATGAAGATTTATTTCCTGGAAATAAATAAGGGACACCTCTATATGACTGTCTCCATCATACAAGTCAAAACAGATCTCTTTAATATATTACCTATAGGGAATATACTGCTGCCACTACTACTGAAAATAATAATGATAATAATAATAATACATTTATGGTTTAAGGGATATATATTTCTATTTACTGTGATAAAGAGAGAATTAAAAACCTCAATTAGACTGTCATGCTTAATAAAAGTTACACAGTTCTACATTCCTTTATTCTATCTGATTCTCCTGTTACTGACCAGGTCTCTGTCAACAGCTGAGTCCACCTTTTCCTTCTCAAAGTCCTCGGTAGAGACTTCCTGTGACACCTGGCTGTGACACAGGACTGACAGCAGGCTGAGGAGCATCAGCCTGAGGAGCATCCCGGAGCTCTCCATGGTGCTGGTCCTGAAGCAAGGGGGAGGAGAAGATCCCGACAGGAGGCAGCAGATCAGGAACTGGAGGAAGTGAGGGTCCCAGCAGGTTCACAGGAGAATCTCTCTCTCGTGCTTTATACAGAACAGTGAAGCCCCGCCTGGGAGAGGCCAAGGGGAAAAGAACCTCCTCCAGTGACGGGAAGATGTAGTTCAGTTCAACAGAACGAGCCTTTAGACCTTTTTTTATATTTCACATTAAAATCATCACCACCATTATCATGTCTTATATCTGAGTTATTTCCTAAATAAGTTTAATCAGTTCTCTTCAAGTTAGTTCATTACATTTTATAAGTAATCTAATTCCATTGAAACTCATACTTAAAAAGTAATTCCCATAACCCGCCCAATCATAACTTTTTCTTCCAATAGACTTAGGAGAAAACCCTGAACATCCCACCCTTTGTGAAATCATTTATTGAATTTCTTCAGGCATATTTTAAATATCTTTTCCACTTCTAACACCAAATCCATTTTTTAATAAAATCTAGAACAACAACAACATTTTTCAGACCGGAGAAAAAAATTGAGGACGGTTTAAAATATGAAATGTCTGTTCACATCATGAGCTGCAGCAAAAACTGAAAATAGTTGAAGATCAGATAAAAAAATTTAAAAAGTTGTTATAGACTATTTAAATGTAAAGATTAAAAAAAGAAACAAACATCGAGAGGAACAGTAAGAGACTGATTATTACATTCAATGTAAAGTAAGATTTATCTCATTTTACTTTTAGAAATTGCAGTATTTAGTCCTTTTTTTTGCAAGTCAGATTTATAAATCATCAAAAGTATTTTTATATCAGACAAAAATAACTAGAGAGAACACTAAAAGCAGCTTCAAATCTTTCTAAAATACAATTTCATTTATTTAGGGAAAGACCTTATCCAAATCAGCCAACCCCTGTGTGACAACATAACTGCACCCTTTGATAAAGGATATATTAACTTCACTTAAACATATTTCTTACTCTATTTTTGCAAGCAAAAAACTCACCTAATCCCTCTTTGATGTGTAGCATCAGGAAGTCACTTAAATAGAACATGTCTGACCGCATGAAGTAGATCAAACACATTTTAAAAGATATACATATTCTCAAAAAAACAAAAAGAAAAAAAATGAAGAACAGATTTGAAACAAAGTTACTGATGCCTATCGGTCTGAAAGAATTACAAAGGTTTTAGGGGCTTAAGTGAATCACATTAAGAACCATTACCCACAAATTGAGGAAACAATTGACAATGGGAACCTTCTAAGGAGGGGCAGGAGCACCAAAATTACTCCAAGACTACATTATGACTCATCTACAAGGCAATTAATGGTTAAGCTGATCATTCCCTAAATTAAAATAGAGAGCCGTCAGAAATGGCCTCAATGGAAGAGTTTCAAGGCTAGAGCTCGGATGATCAAAAACAACTAAAAAGGCACATTTCATATATTGTGTGCCCCCAAAAAATCTTAAAGGTGCCTTAAGACCATCAAGACTTTTAGGATAATTTTCTGTGGACTGACAAGACAGAAGTGGAACTTTTTAAGTAAAGCTCTCACATCTGGAGTCAATCTTGTTGCTGGTATCCTAAGCAAACGCTAGGCCACCCCATCAGGTGATGTTTTGTTCCCATGTGAACAATTTCACCTCTGGAACAAGCTTTTCTCCTTTAAAGCAGAGAGGGGAAGCAGTGATGCTCCAAAGTAGAATGTCCTAATGAATTTGACATTCTAACAGAGGTGGTTAGAGTACTCAAATATTGTGGTTATGTAAGAGTAACAGAACTTCATCATTTTTTTACTGAAGTGAAATTTTTAAAAGTGACCTTTAAAGAAATTACTTAAGTAAGAGTAAAGATTTTTTCGATAAAAAGGCTACTCAGGTAAGTGATCTACTAACTACCTATGATCATAACAACTGATTTAATATTTCACAGAATTATTTAAAATTGAAAAAAATATTGAAATGGCTAGCTCAGGTGGTAAGTCGCCAAACTTGCACGCAGGAGCCCCTGGGTTTGAATCCCTGCAGGGGTGAATGAGCTGCCAGCGGGAGTCCTTAGGCAAGGCCCTTCATGCTAATGGCCACTTTTTAAGTTGCTTTGGATAAAATCTCCTGCTAAATGCATAAACATAACAAACAAAGTGTTTTAAAGAATAACATAAAAATAAACACATAACATACAATAATATGACAATAAAAATACTGTGAATTTCCTCCACCTCCAAATGACATGGCAGACTCAGCAGAGAGAAAAATAACATTTACGCAATAGGCCTTGAGTATGAAAAACAAGACAGTGTTTCTCTCACTGGTGCAGATTGGTTTAAAACAAGCTTGTTTTCATTAAATGAAGTTACTCACGATGAATGGAGGATCCGGAAATGTTACATAAGTGTAGTGATACTTAATCATATTTTTACTCAAGTAAAACTAAAGAGTACAATGCTGTAAAACTGCTACCAAAAGTACATTTATTCAAAAAGTTACTCAAATAAATATAACTGAGTAAACATAACTAGGTAGTACCCACATCTGAATTTTAATTGTTAGTACATAAACTATGAACTAGAGGTGGGTGGATCAATGCTAGTATTGATAATATGCATACCAACAATGGCTTTGATATTGAACAATACTTATGTAAAAATACCAATCCTTTTTTCCCCCTTCCTGCACAAATTACTGCAGCAGATTCACCAAAGTCTCCCTCTCTGTGTTGCAGCACTTGGCTTCTCCCCCTCAAGCCACCTTTCACCGTCTTGCACCATCACGTGGCTCACCGGCTTTGTTTAGTTAATGTTAAATTGTGCATTAGTAATGTAAAAATGTAAACTAAAAATCAGAAGTACCAAAGTCTCAACAAGTTCATGATGCATCAAGCTTGAGAATAAAAAAGTATCAGTATTGATATCTGGGGACCTGACCTTGTATTTACTTGGTATGGGATCAATGCCAATATTCCTGGTATCTCCTACCTCTACTATAAACTAAAAACAAAAATACATTTATTATTTATAAGATTAAACTAATGTTAAAGATGACAAAATCTGAACTCGATCTCTTTTCAGAGCTATTTTTGTAACCACTAGGGGGTGGTGGCCTAGTGGTTAGGGCATAGTGAGTTGTGAGAGGTACATTTCTCCAATGTGAGATTAATAAAAATGAATTCTTATTTTATGGAGGAAAAAGGAAAGTCTAGAGTCTCAAGTTATTTAGGAGTCTTTGATGTATTAAAGATAAAGAAAAAACTGCTCAACCCATTTAATGTGAATACTATGCACAACCATAAATCATACATTCATACAGCATAGGTGTAACAAATATGATGATTGATTTATTTGCAAGGGGTTCATGATAATTTATGACAGTTTGTCTTCAATGATTTATTTGGAAAATATATTTGTTTCTTTAGTTTCCAGTAGACTGACCCTGAAGTGATTTTGACATTCATTAGTTTTTGGCCACCCTTCAGTGAACATAGTTCCCTGTCTGTCCATCCCTATGAAAATTCTGGCACCGCCACTGAGGTCAGATTTTAGTCAAACATGGACTTAAATTGAATTACGATGCCAAGGTATGACCTAAAAACAGGGCATTTATGCTGAAAACCCTCTACTGCTGCTTGATTTAAAGAAATGCACAAAGCAGAGTGGGCCAAAATGATTCTTCTATGATATGAAAGACTAACCGCCAATCATTACGAAAACTAAATGACAGTTGTCTCTTTAAAAGGTGTAACAAAAAATAATTTCAAGAAAGCTTCTGTTTGGCTAAGGTTGTTGAATGCTAACACATTTCTGATTGATCTGATACTTCCAGTGTAACTATTAGCAAGAAGCACCTTTAAGGGTGGAAACCCTCTTTCCAAAAATGTAAATTAAAAAATTTTCAGAAGCAAGTCATCTAAATTATACAAGCAATAACAAGCAAGCAATGACAGCCTTTTATAGTTACAGCGTAAAGTTTCATGTTAATTATATCATAAAATACAAATGTTAAGTTTAAAGAGGTTTCAAGTTTGCTTGCTTTGAAGATGATACAAATTTTTTTCTCTACAGGTGAGAGCTTTCAGCAGGATAATATTAAACAAGACATGAATAAGCTTAAAAAATTATTTGACCAAAAAAAACCTGTCCTTAAATCTGGAAAAAAGCATTATGTGAGACTAGATTAAATATAAATGTGAAAGCTAATACAGTCTCCCATCAAACACGTCTAGACTAAATTATCTAGAAACAATCCGAATCTTAGTGAAGCAACACATTTTAGAAGCGTAAAGCATCACACATTCTCTACTGTTCATTAATTTTACCAAACCTGAGCTATTGGACTGAACTTTATGGTAACACCTCCAGGACATCAGTTAAACTGCTATGCCTGCTGCAGAAAAGAACCATCAGGTTAATACATAAGGTTGGCTATTATGAACACATTAATACATTATTCATTTATTCCTGTTTGATTAAATGATCTGATCTAATAGATTTAAAGAAATAAATGTATGAAGCTAAAAATAAACAGCTGCCATACAGCATACACTTTTATATGAAAGGTTAGTTAGTTAAAGGGATCATCTAAATTGCGTTAAATGTGCTTTCACCAACATGAAAAGAATGTGCCTTTCAATAAATGTTGTGAACGTATGAAACCAACTAAATGTTGAATGAAAGCAATGTCTAACCATGAGACTGTTTAGGAAGAGAGTCTGACTTGTTTTCTTAAAAAGATATAAGATGGAAGAAGTTGGGGAACAAGTCATTAGTCAATGCAGATGGATATATACATATTTATTATGTATAAAGCCATTTATTAAATGGTTTTTGTCATGTGGGCTTTTGGTAATAAATTTATGAATGAAGATCTATGTAGGCACATGTTAATGTGTATACCTATGTTTATTTATATATAAATTAATTAAAATACTAAATGGTCATCAGAGTACAGTAGTATGAACTCATTAATTGAAAAGGTGAATAGGGATGGAGATGGGTAAGATATAATAACCTTCACTTCTTCAACCTCCCTTTTTCAGACCAAAGC